ATTGTGCCGACAGATCCAGTTCTTGCAAGAAAAAACAGCAGATTTGGACCCGAACATGCAAAATGTTGCCGACCATCATGCCGTGCTTGCAGCCGTTGCAAATGCTTGTAAGTTGTTATTTCGTTTTAAAAAATTAGTTGTCATCCTAGTAATTCATCAGGGTAGGATTTCTTCGTATTTTCATACTTTTTTTTCGTAATTGTTTTTCGTGATCTTCTTATTTTTCATAATTACTCAACCCCTAGCAATGTGGTCACTGACAAAAGCAAAAAAGTGAATTGCTAGCCGAAACGGAGAGAGCAATCGAAGAGCTCAAAGCGTTTCCCTATGACCATATAAGCAGTCAAACTTTTTAGTATACTATTTTTTTTTTCAAAAAAGGCGAACCAAAGAACCACCGGGGAACTGATGAAAGTTCGATTACAGCAGCTATGAAAAGTTTGCGAGATGCATCACTATTTAAGAAAACAGATGCTTATAGTACTGGAATGTCTTGAAAATTTTTCAATCATTGGCAAAATGGTCGGTTGGAAAATTGGTGTGGTGAACCAAAGTTTCCGATGTGAATGTCACTGGGATGCTCTTGTATGCCAGCCTTAGCTGTGATGCAGAAAATAGCACAAAAATAAACACGGCGAAAATCGAGTGGGGGTGAGAAGAGGCGACAAATTTTCACGAAAAACCTACGAAGTTAAAATTTCAGTTACCAATGATATGCCAAACTTCCAAAAACTTGTGCTAAACGCGGTCGAGCTGTTCTTGGATGGACCACCAGAGGAGATGAATACCACGGTTTGGCATCTTCCTCACGGCATCATTTCACATTCACGGAAGACGGCGTTACCGCTCTCATTGATCGATTTGCTGACATTCCACGCCCGAAATCATCTCTTCCAACTGTGCTTGCTAAAACTCAGTGCGATGCTTTCGGTGCAGCAGTCAATGAAATTGCCCAGTCCTGCAATCATCGGTTGGTTATCACGCTTGCATCACGCTACTTCATTAATATTTCAGTTTTTACTGCAACCGTCACACTGACAAGGTCCAGTTGCGCAGCACTGAATAGGAATGTATGCGACTTGACGGACCGAAACTTTCCCATTCAGATTTTAATTTTATTTTTTTATTCA